GGAATTTGCCATCTAATTTGTTACAAATTTGGGTATTGTTTATTTTGAGATTTATCTGATTAGAGGATTTATTGCCAAACAGAATATAAAACGTTTTGTCAATGTTAAGGGTAAGTTTGTTGGCAATTAGCCAAAGATGGACTTTCTCTAGCTCAGTATTTACTGTGGCATTTAGAGCAAGGGGGTCAGGACTGGAGTAAATGAAGGTTGTGTCGTCAGCAAATAGAATTGGTTTGAGGTGTTGGGAGGCATTTGGAAGGTCATTAATGTAGATGAGAAAGAGGAGAGGGCCAAGTATGCTGCCCTGAGGAACACCATTGTTGATGGGTAGGGTGGGAGAAATTGTATTATTCACAGAAACATACTGGAGCCTGTCAGTAAGATTTGATTTGAGGTATTGCAGGGAGTGTCCTCTGACTCCATAATGATGTAATTTATGAAGAAGGTTTTGGTGGTTGACAGTGTCAAAAGCCTTACGCAGGTCCACAAATAACCCAACAGGAAACTTCTTTTTATCAAGAACTGCGTGAATTAAGTTAATCATACTAATAAGTGCATCGTTAGTGCTTTTTTGGGTCTGAAGCCATATTGACAAGAGCTAAGTATATTGTGTTTGGCTAGAAAAGAGTAAAGCTGCTTGTAGATTAGTTTTTCGAATATTTTTGACAAGTTAGGCAGGATTGATATAGGTCTGTAGTTGTTAACATCTGTGAGATCACCACATTTGTGGACAGGGGTTACTCTTGCTTTTTTTAGAATGTCTGGAAAGGTTTGGAGTTCAAGTGACTTGTTGAAGAGCAATGCAATAGCAGGGGCTAAAGATCTGGAGGCTCTTTTGTAAATTAAAGTTGGTATCTCCTCGAGGGCACTAGACTTGGTTTTAAGGGAAAGGATTATCTCATTGACATCAGTGGAACTAGTAGGCTTTAGGTACAGAGACTGTGTACCTAAGAGTATGTATGGGGTTCATGAGTTACGTGGTGTATTTGCTATCAGAATAATAACAAACTTTGTTTTAAGACAACACGCAGCCTCCCTGTTTGAATCCCGAAACATGCTAAACATAAACTCACTCCACACATTCTCTTGTGCCATTTACATGTACAAAAGCTTGTTCCTAGATGCAAATCCTGATCTGAAATGCTTCCTTGACAGATGTAATAGAACCCATAATCATCACACCAGAAATAAATATCTCTTTGATATCCCTAGAGTCAAATTAAATCTGTGTAAGCACACTATGAAAATAAAGGAAGCTAGTCTATGGAACTCACTTCCTAACAAATTTAAAAGCTGTCCAACCTACACCTTATTCAAAAGTAAAACCAAAAAGTACCTAATTTCATCCTCATAGTTTCCTACTTAATGTTTCAAACTCGCACTGTATCTTGTGCTACCCACTCCCCCAAAATATGTGCCTAAGCTATATAACTTCACCATTGTATTTACTGCCATCATCTTATATCATGGTTGGTATGTTAAATGCAAATTTTACTACAATCTACCTAGAAATAATCCTCAAATTATGCTACACTGTACCTGTTAGATAATCCTCAAATCTCACTGTAATATACCTACTGATTTTCTTCAGATTTTCTTACAATGTACCTGTTATAATTTTTCAACTTTGCTACAAATTACCTACTTAAATTTATCTGTTAGATTAAGGACCTGCCCGAAACACTTATGTGTGCTAGTGACTTTAGAAGAATGTAAAATCATCAATGTTATGTACTCTCATAAACCCAATGTACCTTCTTGTATATATATATAAATAAATATATCTGCAGTCTCCGTGGTGTAGTGGTAAGACACTCGCCTGGCGTTCCGCGAGCGCTATGTCATGGGTTCGTATCCTGGCCGGGGAGGATTTGCTGGGCGCAATTCCTTAACTGTAGCCTCTGTTTAACGCAACAGTAAAATGTGTACTTGGATGAAAAAACGATTCTTCGCGGCAGGGGATCGTAATCCAGGGACCATAGGATTAAGGACTTGCCCGAAACGCTACGCGTACTAGTGGCTGTACAAGAATGTAACAACTCTTGTATATATCTCAAAAGAAAAAAAATAAATAAATAAATAATAAATAAATATGGGGTCTGTCTCAGTTTCACCACGATGCAAATGAGCTGAAATAACCTCAGGTGCAAGGCATCATTGTGCAAGGTTTGAGATAAAGCATCTCTGCCCAAGTGACCTAAGATGCCAAAATATATCTACAAATCACAGCCACTGGATGTAATGTGTGATAGTCGCCTGTTAAACAAACCATGGGACCATGAAAAACAATGCAGAATCATGTTTGCCAAGAAAGTTGGAGGCATCTGCATCTTCAAGAACTCCAGGCCCAAATTTACAGGACTCAGGACACCATCCAACAATCTGCCTGAGATACTAGGCAGACCAGAACTAAGATGGTTATGTGGAAAATTATTCAAAGAATTATGTGATTCAAATCCTAAAGTTCAAGAATGTATTGTAGATCCTTGCAAGTTACGCTTAGGAGATCAGGAACAAACAAGACACCCACCACAGAGCGGGTCTTAATTTGACTAGTCCAGCATCCACCAACTCTGCCATGGTTGATGGAGCTGCAGGGTAGACTTTGTAGACTAACACCAAAGAAGGGGTTGAAGATCACGTCCACTGCAGGCTCTGGAACAAGTTCCAGAAAGCCCATATATTGAAGGACCAATGGGTGGCAAAATGGGTCAGATGTCCCCCAAGAGTGCTGTTAAAGGGGCAAAACATGAAAGGGGCCCACTGCAAAGAACTCTGAACGAGTGCACCCCTCTGTGATGCTCGAGAGCAATACCGATCAGAAAGAGCAAAAGCTGGAGACAGCACCACACATGGAAATCCTACTTCACCAGAGGCCTACCCGAGTAACAACAGGTGAGGACCTGTCCGGAAACTCCCTCCAATGTGCAGAGAAGACAGAATCAAATAACTGAGAAGCTAAAAAGCCACAGTTACAATAACCAAGGTGTTAGCTTCCTCAAGAAACAAAAAAAAGCAAAAAATGGGAAAGGAAGACAAGACAAACAGGGACCAAGCCAAATCTAAGGCATGGGCCAGCACAGCACATCGGCAAGACAAATGAGCTGAATAGAAGCCTGCCACTGCCTTCCTATGGAGAGGAACATGGCAGAGCCTCCAAAGCCCCAACCACAGGCAACAAGGCAGCAGTAACCGAAAGTACAGCGGATAAGGCATCCAAGCTCCCCCAGAATTGACCACAGAACAGCTCAAATGTGCAATGATTGATGAGTTAATGACTAATGTGTCAGGTAAGCTGGTTCAATAGCTGGGTGCATAGTCACTGGTAGTACAGCAGCTACTAGCATGTGAACTGCCTAGTGTCCATGTAGATTGGTTCATGGTCTCATTTTCTGCATTTAGTATGCCCTGCTGTTGTCTTGACATGTCCCAGGGTCCCAGTAGTACAGTCAGGTTCATTCCAAATTCACAGTCAGGAGTTATTCTTCTTCTTTGCAATACATGCAGTTTGCATGAAGGTTTTCCTCCCGATGACGGCACGAGTGGTAATGTAGAAAGATGCGTCACATTCAGTGATGCATCAATGGTCAAGATGTGGCAGAGGCATAAAGATGTCGACGTCTTCTATGTGGGTGAGGATAAGGACAAAATAAACAGACAAGAGGAAAGGGACTCAGGATGGGAAAGATGAGGAGTCGCATGAAAGGTGAAAGCAAAGCGTTGCCGAACTATAAAAAGTGTGGGATGCAAGCAAGAGACGGAGGTGGAGAGGCAAAGAATATTTGGGAGGTAGTCGCTAATCAGACATGAGAAAGGAAGGGAAGTGCAAGCACATAAAGGAACATGAAAAACATGTAGGTTAGGGTAAATCAGGTCGGGTCAGGGTAGGTGAAAACAGGGCAAGACATGTTGACGGATTCCAGAGCTTTACGTCCGGGATGCAATCACATCGGTCTTTTAGATGGACCAGGAGAACAGCATGAAGAAGACCTGAGAGTAGGGGTGAGGATGCATCACGTGAGTGCAAGATGTATGTGGTTTGTCAGGCAAAGTGGCGGCAGGGCGCTTGGAAGTTGGGACAGCTGAGGATTGCTTCATCTTAGTGCTGGGGGTCGGGGTTTGCGGCAAGTCAACCCAGGGAGAGACTCGGGTAAGGCGCGCCAAGGCGTTATTGAAGGCGGTTTCCAGAGGAGTTAACCAGCTTGTTGTAGGGTTGCATCCTGGGAATGGTCAGTAGTTTGACCTTGGAGCCTAATGTGTATATTTACACTAGCTTCCTGTTCCCCAACACAATGAATTATTATTTAGCTCTACCTTTCTGGTGGCTTTTTGTTGCTCTAAATGATCCAGTATCCTCATGCTCCTTCTGCCTCTCAGTAGAATCTTAAGTAGTTGTATATGAGCTTGAGCTTTGTCTGTATATTATATTCCCTGGGCAGAGTTTGTTTTCTAGCACTTTACCAGTTCATCTGTTGTCCCCACTTTCACCATCACTAGGACCGTCTTGTCCAGACTCCATTTGCCCATCAGTGGCTTACTAGTTTCCTCTTTGGGCTTTAAGAGGTAGTGGTTAATGGTTAAGTCCTGTGCACCTCCTTCCTGCACATGACCTTTTGACAGATGCCTCAGACCTGGGATGGGGGTTTTCTAACCAGCTATCACCAGCAAACTCTGGAATTTGGGGGGAAACAGCATATAGAATAAACATCATTAGTAACAAAACGAACAATTTAGAAATGGTTAGAACACTTGTGCAAACAAGAAGAATTAGGTTCATACTCTTAAGTGTGGTGGAACAGTTTGGGAGAAGTTGAGAAACAGGATGCTAAAGGGTAGATAGAATGTGTTCTGAGGAAAACATGGAGGGTTGGGCTTAAACAAGACTTGTGGAAGAGTAAGCTACCTGCTACTGCACACTTAAGTGTAAAATTAATGAAGTAAAATCTGATTAAAATGTAATGTAAATAAATTTATAATGGCACTAATGCATTGTATAGTACTCTCTCTCTCTCTAATAAAATATCAAAGCAAAGAAATAATATACTATAATATATTTATCCATAAATAGTATATTAATGCATTAGTGTAACCACAAAAGCTTCCCTTTCAATACGCTCACAAACTACCAAACTAACCCTAACATTCCCATTTAGATCCGTGTAATGGTGCCTTGGAATGAAGTGGTAGTGTTGGACGATATCATGATGACAGTGACGGGCTTGTCTGGTAGTGATCAGACCACTGACTATCACGACCATCCGAAGAGACAACTGACCTCTCACTGTCCCCTCCATGACTATGATCTTCTGAGGCCCGTTGTTATGGCAACCTGGCAGAATGTTTTCCAAGGAGAATGTCCAGATGTTGATGCCATCCTGGTGGAGTCACAAGCAGTCCAGGAATCCGTTCAGATTCCTGGAACTGGGATGTATTTGGTGTATCATTCTTCCAGGTGAGATAAAGGATGCTTATATTCAAAATATTTATATTTCAAAACTAGCTGATTAAGAAAAAAAAATTTCATGGATGCATGGCAGTCATTGCAGTTCTATAAGGTAAAATTATATATTCAAAATGGTATAGGATAAAAACTTCATTTTTGTTGTTTGTTTGCACTGTAGACCTATTCAAAGATATTACAAGGATTAAAAAATGTATGAGCCAAGATATATGTTTTGGATTATTGACATATTACAATACAAATTATCCAAATTAAACTGAGTGGAAGGTTGTATAAAGATTTCTTGTACTATTTCATCTTCATGTTCCTTATCATTTTATACTTGTTTCACATCTTAGATTCCCGATTTACCTGATTTTCCTTACTTCTCCTTCCTTCTAATGATGAATCTGCAATTGCTTTTGCAATCTTCACCAAACCAATTTTTTCTTTAAAGTTCACAACCCCATTTCATTGATTTTCCCATCACACTTCAGGGCCAATGGATATGAGTCAACTATCAGAATGCAATTGACTCCTGATCACATCCCAGCTACATTAAGAAGGATCCACCTCAGGATAGTTCTAGAAGGCACCCTGTTCACCAGGGTCTTCGAGGCCGACCCTAATATAAAGTTCACCTATGCTTGGGATCGTCTGAATGTATACAGGTAAGTTTGTATATGAAAGATACTTGATGGACTTTAGTTGGACGAGTCTCCATATTTGCATGTAAATGTTTTTAGTGAAAGTATTTACATGCATTTCAGTTATTTCAATGACTGAGGTTTCTAAAGTTGTGGGTAACATTTGGATGGAAAACAAAGTCATAGTAGGGAACACATACAAAATATAATAATAATAATTCATTGTGTGGGGGGGGAGGACAGACAGCCAGAATGTATTTATACACGTTAAACTTATATTGATGGGAATCCCCCTCCCCCTCCCCCAAGATCAAATTACTGATCCGCCGAGAATGTAACCCCACAACAAACTAACTCCTGGGTACCTACTTGCTGCTGTAGGTGAGAGGAAATGTGTCCAACCATTTCTGTCCCGCCTGGGATTTAAATAGCATTTCTTCAAATGTAAGGGAATTCACATAAATTATACACAACTATTTTGAATTGAGGGATTCAAACAAACCATTCATATACAAGCATCATATATACATATATATTTAAAACACAATGAGGACATAATGTTGACATGGAATTACTCACCATTAAGGATCACACAGATCTCTGTGGCGGTGAGAGCAAAAGTGAGGTCAGCGCCTCAGTGCAGAACCCAAAACGCACCTCCCACTACCAGAAGCAGCATCTCCCTCCTTTTTTTTTTTTTTTTTTTTTTTTTTTTTTTTTTTTTTTTTGAGATATATACAAGAGTTGTTACATTCTTGTACAGCCACTAGTACGCGTAGCATTTCGGGCAAGTCCTTAATCCTATGGTCCCTGGAATACGATCCCCTGCCGCGAAGAATCGTTTTTTCATCCAAGTACACATTTTACTGTTGCGTTAAACAGAGGCTACAGTTAAGGAATTGCGCCCAGTATATCCTCCCCGGCCAGGATACGAACCCATGACATAGCGCTCGCGGAACGCCAGGCGAGTGTCTTACCACTACACCACGGAGACTGCTACTCCTTCTGAGTAGTGAAGGTAGAGGATGGAGAGAGTCTACATAAAAGTGCAGGAAAGCTATTTTATTGACAGACATGCTCTCCCATGCACAACTTGATATACTTGAAAACACTGGCAATAAAGTAAATTAACTTTGCCATAAATAAAAGTACAAAAATAAAACAAAATTCCATTATAAAACATATAACAACATTGCAACGAATACAAATAAAAGCTAAACATTTTATACCTCACTGTCTCCCAATACTGTATATGAAAATTTTGCTTAATTGAAAAATAAGCATGATTTTTGTTGTTCCAAAGATGGTAAACAAACAAAACAGTTAAGCCACAAAATTTAACTGGAAATTAACTGAATGAAAAATTCAGCTTGAAACAAATACTGTACTATGGCTGAAAACAAAACACTAAATAAACTGAAAACACTAGAACAGCAATAAATGAGAAAAGAAAACATTAATCTTAAAAGTAAATACTGTACAATATTTATGAAATAATGTTATTTGTATACAGAACAACAAGGGAGTTAAGTGTAACTTGAAGACATGATAATAATGAAAAAACAAATGCATTCTAAACAAACAAAAAACAAGAAAGATTTTCAGCATTAAAAAATTATCTAAGTTTCAAAAAGATCGTGACAGTAAAATTTTCACTGTCATAAAACAAATAGCAAATGCCCACATTATTGGTAACTGTTAAGTCTTACTGTACATAATTTTCAAACTTCAGAAAAACCTAACAATAATGGTAGATTTATTTATTTATTTTCCCAATATTTTGACTCTTACACTTGTCAGTGATACAGGTCTGTAATTGAGAGGGGGGGGGGGGTCCTCCTGCCGCCAGTTTTGTAGATTGGAACTATGTTTAGCCTTTTTTCCACACATCTGCTATGACTCCTGTATTCAGGGAAGTGGGTGTAAGACCTTGAGTGTGCATTCACTTTACAGGCAGCGTGTGCATGGAGTGACAGTGGCCAGGGTTTCCGTGGGATATGAACATGCCTCCTGTCCGAAGATCATCTGGGAGCATCAGACAGCTAGAGTAGCTGGCAATGATCTCCTCATCTCAAAGGTTGGCGGTTTTAATCTCCACGTTCACCATGCCTATAATTACCACCAAGGTAAGATTTTGTTTAAAATTTCTGTATTTGAACATTGCAGTTGTGCATTTTAATCCATTTTCAGCTCCCAAACGACATTAAAGAATGTTCGTCTCTCAACCAGTTTAAAACTACCTTATTAACTGTATGTAACCAACCTTCCTCACCTCTTCACATCCTATGTATGTTAACCTGTGTTTTGCTGTCTTTGAAATCATTAATAACTAAACCTGTAATACAACACAGGTTTAGTTATTATGAGAGAATGTGTGTGTCAAGTAGATTTCCTTCACGTTTTCACAAAGGGTAGCATCACCACTTTACACCCTCAGAGGGAAGCTGGAGCTAATACAGGAGGGAGGAGGTGTGTATGAGGTGTCCACCTCATCTCTGAGGTGTTTGCCTCCTTGTTCTCATTGGTATTTGAGAAAGTACAGTTTATATCTGAGAGAGTGATAAATGTCATCCCTATTGTATTGTGTCCCACCCTCTGTGTCTTCTAATAAATGTAATGCACACACCCAGTTGGTTTGGTAACGTTTTACCAAATCAAAATAATTAAGGAATAGGGGGGATTATTATTATTATTATTATTATTATTATTATTACGTATATTTCAAGTTCATTGACAAATTATTGCCCCTTCCCCATCCTCCTCACACTGTAAAGTTTAATATACTGTTTCAGCATGATTGCCTGGCTTGACACTATTTCAGCATGATTGCCTATCTTAACATACTGTTCAGGATTATTGTCTGGTTTAACATAATGTTTCAACCTGATTGTCTGGTTTAACATGATGTTTCAGTATGTTTTGGGGGGTTTAACATACTGTTTCAACAAGATTGTCAGGTTTGGTTTAACATACTGTTTTAGCATGATTGTTGGATTTACCATACTGTTTTAGGATGATTGTTGGATTTACCATATTGTTTTAGCATGCTTATCAGGTTTAATATATTTCAGCATGATTGTCAGGTTTAACATACAGTAGTGTTTCAGCATGAGTGTCTGGTCTAGCAATGTTTCAATATGATTGTAAGGTTTATCACCCTGTTTCAGCATACTGTACTTGCCAAGTTTATGCCATACTGTTTCAGCATGCTTATCAGATTAAACATACTGTTTTAGCATGCATGTCAGGATAAATATTTTCAATATTTTGGAGTTAGTGTATGTTCATATCCTTACCGTTTCAGCATACTTGTTACGTTTATCATACTTTCAGCATGATTTTCATAATAATAATAATAATAATTTTGACCATATCATGGTCTAGTGGAGTAGAGCATGCCTCCAACAGCCTGGTGGATCAGACCAGCAACCAGAAGGCCTGGTCAGAGACCAGGCCATGGGGACGTTGATCCCCAGAACCTTCAACAGGTAGTGCCTGCTGGATACCTGCTGAACGGGGTTCTGGGAGTTCTTTTACTCCCTGCCCAGGAGTACGCAAAGCCTAGGTTCGAATCCTCCACATGGCTCCATACTAATTTTCTCAGTAATAATAATAATACTAATAGTAATAATAATGTAATAATCTTTATTTATATATATATAGTATACATGAGAACATGTTACAGTAGATACATAGTAGGTACAGTAATTGTGTATTATATAAAGCCACTAATTACACAAAACATTCAAGGCATAACTTACAATAATTAGTGAGTGTACTGTAATTTTAAATTTATTGCAGTAACCATTATATATGAGTAATAAGCTAACATATATGAAATATTAAAGAAATTTAGCAAATGATATACAAATTTGATGGATGTTTATCTTTAAAGTGATTCTTACTGATGCATGTTAAATATGTATTTATGTAACAACTCTTCAACCATTGTACGGTGTTCGTCTATGTATTTTTTAAATAAAAATTATTATTATATTATTATTACTGTGTTATATAATCTGCAGCCTTAGAGATGACAACATTATAGTAAATGGTACAGATATATTATGCATTATTCACAACAGCAAACACAAGTTGACTTATTTAGAGTGCATCTATGTCGGGGAATATTGTGTCATGATGTTAATTAGGTATTTCTTAGTTTTCCACTTTAAATTGGTTGAGAGAAGTACAGCATTTTATTGCATTTGGGAGGTCATTCCACAGTTGGAAACCCTTTATTTGCATGGCATTTCTGCTTTGATTGAGTGCCACTCTTGTAATATCAAATAGATATTTGTTTACAGTTTGGTACTACTTTTTGTAATATTTTGTATAGGACAGTATGTATTTATGAAGCATGAGTACTAGTGAACTTGCCATGTTACACTTAATTCTTGACTAGTTTCATATACATCCACAGCACACACAACTCCAGGCCTATTACAGGGAAGGTGGGACACCACGAGCACAGCTCTCATCCTGTAACTACAATACACTTAGGTAATTACTTAGGTAATTACACACACCTTTGTCCTTGACAAGATTTAGCTCTCTGAGTGATTTTGCACAACACAAAACTCATGAAAGCCACTTTACCAAAAACCGTTCTCCCTTACACAACTTGACATACCTACAAAACAATGGCACTTGAAACATAAAAATTAACATTGGAAATCATAAAATTAAAACAAACTAACATTTAATAAAAAATAGAAATGTTAAAACTAATACAAAGAAAGTGCCAGGCATTACAGGGTGGAAACTACAATCCAAGATGATTCATAACGATGTATTGGAACAGTTCTCCAGTGTAAGATTACTGAGCAGTTGGGTTGAACTAAAAGGGAAGTGTGTTCAAGTTAACTCCCTACTCATTTCCAGAAATAGGTATGATAAAAAGCAAGAGGGATTAGAATGCCTTGCTATGGGAAATTAGGTTTTGGATCCCTTGCAATAGGTAATTAGGGTTAGGAGCCATTGCAATAGATAATCAGGGTTAGGAACCATGACAATAGGTAAGAGGATAGATCAACCAGTGGATGACAACTTTGCCTGTGTATACACATAAGTGACTGCACCCTAATACTTTTCTGCCTGTTTTTATATATACACATCTCTCACAGCCCACTTCTCTTCCAGGTATCTTGCAAAAGGGCAACGGCCAAAACATATATCTGGCTGGTCAACGTCGCCTTGTGACAACTCTACTAGGTACCGGAGAGCAGAGAGAAGTTAACTGTGGGGAAAGGTGCGAGGGAAAAGCCAACCTCTCCCCTTTGCTGGCTCCCACCTGCCTTGCGGCAGCTCCCGACGGTTCCCTCTACGTTGGCGACTTCAATCTAATCCGACGCGTTAAACCCGATGGGACTGTCATCACTGTCGCCAGGCTAAAGTGAGTGGCGGGTTTCAGTGCAGGCTTACATAAGTTTGTTAGTTAGAGGTGAACCTTCTTGTATGTGGTTTTTCAAGTTTGTATGTTACTGTGCAGCTGTGTGTTGATGCACATTATAATAGTATATTTGATTATTTAATAGCCCGTTGTTGTACACTTAGCATAAAGCAAGGTCTGTAATTATTAGTATATTTTTATGTGGCAGTTGTGTTAGTATGCTCTAAGTGCACCAGCATGCTCTAAGTGTATTAGAAGACATTAGGTAAATTTCTGTTTGTTGGCACATTAGAAGTGGTTTGTAACATTGAAATGTAAGTAAACATTACATGTCTTTAAATTTTAGCAGTGATATTTGCTGTTTTTATATTCATAAATATGTTAAAAGCACTTACATATTTTTAGGCTGGAATTTTTGGCCTGTAGGAATCAGGTAACATGTGACTGTACCAGGCTGGAAGTGTAACATGTGACTGTATCAACCCAACATGGGAACGTTGATGAGCTGGAGAGCTGTAGTGCTAGTTTTCAGTCATTGGAGTTCAGGTTCATAGTGCTGGGCCATAACAATCAAGCCATAATCCACAGAAGTTGGGTCTTACAGGACCAGACTGAGGGGAGGATGAGAGAGGGCATCAGCCACAGCGTGTCTGTCCCTTGACTTGGCAGATGTGCGTAGTAAATTGCAAGATGTAACCAAAGTTGTGGGAGACCTTAGGGAAGTGAGAATCACCCCTGGCTGCCATGACGTATGTTAATACTCACCTAGTTGTGTTTGTGTGTGGGGGGGGTTGAGCTTTGGCTCTTTGGTCCCACCTCTCTACCATCAATCATCTGGTGTACAAGTTCCTGAGCCTATTGGGCTCTTATCATATCTACATTTAAAACTGTATATGGAATCTGCTTCCACCACATCACTTTGTAATGCATTCCATTTGTTACCTACTTTGACACTGACAAAATTAATTCTAACATCTCTGTGGCTAATTTGATTACTTAGCTTCCAACTTTGTACAGAAGTTGGTGAGGAAGTAAAATTCCTGCCCTCCAAGGAAGTGACGAAAATGTTGGATGGCTGCATAGGTGGTAGGTAGGGAGTTCCTTGTCATAGGTGCTGTATTCTTCTTCTGCAGTCGAGAGGTGGGCCAAGAAGAAAGCCATGGGCCACCATGCACACTCAATTAATTGGTGCAGGACTGCTTCCATGGCAGTTTTAGAAATATTAGTGGAGAGCCTGTTGGGGGGGGCATCGAATACACTGGATGGGCATGCAGAGTGAACTTTGTACACTTGCATTTGATGTCGACGAATGCCGTTTCTGCCTGCAAGATCCAAATCCAATGGAAGCATGATGTCTGCTCATGTCCCTACAAGAGGTCATACAAGTGCTGAAAGATGTCTGAGCAGTATAGAATGAAGCTATGATAGAGGTTCACAATACCAACCAACTTCTGCAGCTTCTTCAGGTAGATAGATGTGGAACTCCTTAATTGTGTTCATCTTTTTGAATGGCTAAATACCAGCTGCTAACATGTGGGTGTCTTTGTGTATGAAGGCCTCTGAAACTTCCAAGGCCGGATAAAGGATATCCATAGGAGCTCATTGGCACATAGGCCACATGCAATTTGAATAACAAATTGCATGTGGCATATAAACTGAGTCGGCATCTTGGCAGTGAGGATCTTGTCAGTAAGTCCCATGGCCATGCTGCTTGAGATGGTTCTTCAGTGATATTTGTAGTAGGGTGATTCAAGCATAGAGTATGTCCTGTCATGTGCTGCAGGAGCCTTGGTATATGTGGAGGCTTCATCAATAGCATCCATGTGTATGTGGGCAGGACAGAAAATACTACTTTGTTCACTGTGATGTCATGTAGCATGGAGATAGTCTCAATCTACAGAAACCACTTTTCCGGTGCCTCTGGGATGTACGATGGTATCTTAGTTGAGGAAGCCACTTTGTGTATTCTACTAGTGTTTGGTCCATTTTCAGTCTAGTATATGTTGGAGCCAATTGTAATGTCATCTCCTTAGGATCATCAATGTACTACCATATGTAATGTAATGTACTACCACAATAAATTATCTACCATATGATCATCATATGGTAGATAATTTAACCACATACTTTATGTCAATACTCTATAGCAGTGGCCAACTCTTTTTGGATATTCTGATAGATGGATATTGAAACACACAGTAACAGAGATACATTGAAATGTATAGTAACAGTTAGCAATGTATGTAATCTTGCTACAGTGTTGGAGTATATTACAAGTGATTGTGGCAAATATTATGGGTGATTGTGTGTAAATACCTAAGTGTAGTTACAGTATGAGAGCTAATCTCGTGGTGTCCTGTCTTCCCAGCACTCTTTATCATATAACGTTTTGAACATACTGTACAGTGCTGACAGTTTTGGCCCCCACCACCTTCTCATCTAACTTGTTCCACCCGTCTACCACTCTGTTTGCGAAAATGAATTTTCTTATATTTCCTCGGTAGCTTTGTTTAGTTAATTTAAATCTATGACCTCTTGTTTTTAAAGTTCCAGGTCTAAGGAATTCTTCCCTATCAATTTTATCAATTCCCGTTACTATTTTGTACGTAGTGATCATATCACCTCTTTTTCTTCTATCTTCTAGTTTTGGCAAATTTAATGCCTCTAACCTCTCCTTGTAGCTCTTGTCCTTCAGTTCTAGGAGCTGTGTGTGTGTAAAACTACCACACATAAGAACAATATATATATGAAGTGACATTGAATAGGAGAATTGAAAGCAGTTTGGTTGGAGAGAATAGCATTATGTATGTTATGTAAGGCACTTTTCAAGTACAGTACAATACTGTACTTTATGAAACAGCCGAGATTTTGTTTTGAATACTTGGCTAATATGGAAAGTACAGTATTATGAAAGTTCTTATCCCTCCAAAAGTATTTAACTATTTTTATCTAATACTTTCCGAACCTTTCTGAGGGAGTGTTTTTCTGTCCAGTGAAAGTTAATGAAATGGTAATGGCAAGACTGATGAGACCATGTTATCTTAGTTATAAGCACCATTATCCATTTCCCTATTCCCTTACAGTGAGACTCGCGTATCATACCGGTATCACGTGGCTGTGTCACCCCTGGACGGGTCAGTGTATGTGAGTGACCCCGAGGCCCACCAGGTGTTAAAGCTGGCAGCCACCGAGAACGTGCCAGACCCCCACCACAACACTATTGCCGTGGTCGGCTCTGGCCAGCGCTGCCTCCCGGGAGACAGGAACAAATGTGGTGATGGAGGGTATGCCATTCATGCCAGGCTTACCTATCCCAAGGGTAAGACTGTTTATAGTAAAACCATTATACATGCAAGGGAAAATCTGTGATTTATATGATAACTTGCCATGAGTGTAGTTATTGTGTTATTCTTAGGCCTAGAGATGTAGTGCACCAATCAATGCACAGCATGCACTGAAGTAAAGGAGATGATTTGGAAATTGCCTAAACTCACACCAAAATGGAAAAAACAGATTAATGATAATGGCATAAATAAATATGCAATGGTTCATTAGTTTCAATGGGAAGTCAGTATATTAGTAAATGCAGTGATGTGCTTCCAGGAAAATATCATTAACACAAGAATATTGTCTTCAATAGCAGGTTTGTGTATTAATTTCCAATTTTATATTAGATTTTATTATTCACTCAGTGTTGAATGTAATGAAATACCTGTACCTCTTTCTAGTGGGTTCTCTATTTAGACTAACTCTGCACAATTCAAACCATGCCAATCCTTTGTAAATCATTGTAAGCCTACTGAGAACAGAGGCCAAAACCTGATCCTCTCTGTAGAGAGTATTCTAGTTCAATAATTTTGTCAATATTTTTTAGACTTCATCAGTTTTTGGATATACTGTACAGTCCTTAACACAGACGTTCTGATCAGATTTCCGCCAGTTATATGCAATAATCTCAACGCCATCATTATGACGTCATGCCTTAGTCATTACGGGCATTGTATTAGGTGTATCTTCTCATACATTGCATTATTAGCAGTACCTCTGATAGTGAGCAACACTGTTTGTTCAAGGATGCTAATCTGAGCAATGGAAGCTTTTTTTCAAGGCTCTGTAGCCGGCTGCGGTAGGGGTTGAGAAGTGGCAATTTTTACCACTAATATGATTCCTTGAACATAAGAGACCCATTACCCTGTTACTTTGATATATCATTAAATGTGATAATTATTGATATGTCAGAATGTATAACCTCATGTAAGCTACTATTTCTGAAAATATACTTGCAGGCATATTTGTGCTACTGTATAATTATCTTATGCATAATTGATGCTAAAAATGTTAGTCTATGCATTAGTATGAAATTCATTTGCTATTACCTATTTTGTGGGAAAGAAACTTTAAGAAATCAGTAATGTAAGAATGATAAGACACAATGATAACAAAATAATGTATTTGCTGATAACATTTTCAGAAGTAGATTTGCCATTCTGTAAATGATAAAAATACTGGTATTCATAACAGCCTTAATTATTACAGGCCTTGCCATCTCATCAAATGGGGACGTCTATATAGCAGATGGTACCAACATCCGCGTTGTGAATCCCACTGGATTCATCTATACACTTATTGGTGGCCACGATCACCGCTCCCACTGGGCTCCCGTCCCATGCAACGGTACCATCAACATGGACCAGCTACACCTCCGCTGGCCCACTGAGCTTGCTATCTCCCAACTGGATGGTTCACTTCACATTCTCGATGATCATCTTATCCTCAGGGTCACTCCAGACAATCGCGTACAGGTATGATGGCTACTCAGTATGCTAGTCATTGTGTATGATGTTAAAAGCTTATAACAGGAGATTCCGAACCCATTAGTTTCTTGCTGCGAGTGAGTTGGAGTGAGATTCTCTCGTGCCTCCCTTGTACCAGTGTGTAACAAAACAGGGGGGCTTGAAAAGTTCTCAGTTGAGCTGGGGCAAATTATCACTTTACCTTGATTACCATTATCCTGTCCAGTGATCTTGCCTTGGTTAGCATAAATGTGTGTTTTTCAGAAAGTAAATATATTTTTTATATTTACTTAAGCCTGATTTTTCTTCTCATTTGTATCAGCATCTTTTTTCCTGTGTCCATGTGAGCTTCTTCACATTATTCAATCAGCATATATTGTTCCCTCTCAACCCAAACACACACCTAGTATATGAAAATTTGCAATTTACAGAACATACTTACCTGCATTTCATATTATAGACAATTGCAGACATATATATATATATTTTGCCTATTCACAGAGAATTTGAATATATTAATAAGGAATTTATTATCCAGGAATCAATTATAAGTCTGCTTGTTTTCTCTACAATGTTAGGATGTTATTGAGTATATATGCACTTTGTTTCTGAGTGTATTAAACAAAAATCACTTGATCTTAAGAAAACTTCTAAGCCCTAAATTGTGAATGCATGATTGATTTTCAGGTGTTGAGCGGACGGTCTCTCAACTGCCCAACACCAATTCACGACCCCCCTGATGTATCCCGCACAGCTCTACTGTTAAATCCACAGTCCATTGCTTTCTCACCCCAAGGTATGCTGTGGGAACGGGAAGGGAATTGTCAGGGGAAAGTGCCAAGCCATTACGACTTTATAGCACTTGAAAGGGAGTCAGGATAGGGATTTGAGATGGGACGGGAGGAAGGAATGGTGCCCAACCACTTGGATGGTTGGGGATTGAACATCGACCTGCATGAAGCTAGATCGTCGCTCTACCGTCCAGCCCAAGTGGTTGGGCAGGTATGCTGTGGATGGCCTTGTATGTCTTGTTTTAGGCAAAAATTTATGTATTATATCAAAAACACTTGCAGTTAGATTTCACCCAGAAAAATATGTTGTATTAAAGAGTATTTTGCTCCAGTTTGCAATATTATTAAATCATTTGTACATAAATGATCCTTGTTCCTCAGTATATTACCTGTTGTTATTTCTGGGAGGGCCTTCTCCATGGCTTCCCATGCTACTTACCTGGCAAGTTCCAAACCAAGCTTACCACAACAGGCACTAAGGTTCACAAGTGTCTATTAAAAGCCAGTACCAAAATGTGACTCCCCCCCCCCTTCCTCAACAAGGACAAAGATATTATGCATCAAAACAAGTAACTGCATGACCTGGCAACCCTGACACAAACATGTACATGCTCATTAGTGGCAAGTAACCGCTAGTTGGCAACACTAGCCCGGGATGACCTGAGGGATGACTAGATGACAGCCCGGGGCCGCCTAAGGGTACCCAACAGCTATTTCCTTCATTCACAACGCCTTTTTTGCTCTTGGTTATCCACTGCTCTACGGGCTCAGTCCCTAACAAAGTGTTGGCTTTCCTTTGGACTCTCATCCAATGCAAGGGGCCTGTGTTAGTTCCCTTTTCAGACTTCACATGACCTTCTTTGTGCATGTTGGCCTTCTTGTTGCATTTGCTTTGATTCTCATTTCATGTGTTTAGGCATCCCTCTTTGTACTTAAATGATTCAGAATCATTGCCCCACTTTTGAATGTTGGCAAGGCATTGACTTCTGAATTCTTTATTTAACAGCAGTGCTCCTCCCATACCTTTTGTTTGGTGCTTTATGATGGGTAGCTCAATGAGCATATTCATTGTTCACCTTTAGCCTGCCTGTTTGTTTGTTCCCAGGCATGGGAATTCTTGAGAATTCACAATCGAATTGAGAATGGTCAGGGACGGACCGAAACGTCGTCATCCCTTCATTTTCTAGTGTGTGGATTGGTCAGCATACTTCAGTCACATTATTGTGACTCATCGCCTGCTTCTGGCATTCTAATATAGTCTTTTTTTTTTAGCTGGGTACCTGGTCCTTATTTTCAAGCTGCTTCCTCTAGGGTTACTTGTGTCATCCCCCTTCCTCGCAAGGTTTTGCCTTGTTTTCTAGTCTGTGGTGAGAGCTCAGGACACCATTGAGAAGATCCTCCCAGAAAATAAACATTGAATGTAATGAATGTAATTCTGGTAGGTCCTTCAGGTCTTTCCATTCCTTCATTGGTATTTAGGGGTTGTTGCGATGGTAACGTGTGTATGAAGGAGTTAGCTGGTTGCTGCCATCTAGTGGCATGCAAGTGTTAGAAATTAGCAGTCACTTGCCACTAAAGTGTGTGTAATGTATATGTTTGTGTCAGGATTGCCAATGTTGTCTATGTAGTTGCTTATTTTGTTGCATCCTACCTTTTTTGTGATTTTTTCTTCAGATTACTGTGGTGATCTAGTTCTCCTAGGCTCTCCTTGCCTCTATTGAGGGGGGGGAGGGGGGCATATTTTGGTACTGGCTTCTGGTAGGCACTCGTGAATCTTAAGAGCCTAGAGTGGTAACCTAGGTTTCAAGCTTACCTGGTGGGTAGCTCAGAGAACCACCAAGGGACTTGCCTGAAAGAGACATCTCATTATATTCATTGTTGGATTTTTTACAGGGGAGCTGTATGTTGCAGAAAGCGACACTCAGCGTATCAACAGAGTGCGCATTATAACTAGTGATGGCCGCATCTATACTTTTGCTGGTGCAGACTCTCGGTGCAATTGTCGAGATCCAACCTGTTACTGTCATACTTACGACAACGTGTCGGCATCTTCTGCCATCTTCTCTTCCATATCATCTATTGCTGTTACACCTGACAATGTTCTGCATATCAGTGACCAAGCTGGATACCGTGTTAGATCAGTGCGAACTGTACTTCCAGAACTAAATGTTCGCAAACAGTATGAAATATTCTCCCCTGATGCCCATGAGGTATATGTGTTCAATAAATACGGGCAGCATGTTGAAACTCGAAATCTTGTCACAGGCCAGACCATTTACAAGTTTTCATACAGTATAAATTATAGTGCTGCAAGGTTGTTAACTGTGACAGATGGTGCTAGTAATAGATTCCAGCTCATCCGCAACTACTTTGGAGATGTCACATCTATAGAAAACCCACAGAAACAACGAGTAAAAATAAACTTATCGATGATGAAGATGTTGGAACAGCTTGTGGCCCCTGATGGTTATAATATTACTTTTCGGTACCATGGAGCCTCAGGCCTCATGCGCTCCAAGATTGAGGCTGTTGGTCGATCTTACAACTACGACTACGACGAACAAGGTCGCCTAACACAAGCTGTCTTACCAACTGGTCAGGTCATTCAACTAACCTTTGACCTGAGTACACGAGGGGCTGAGGTTGTTGTTACGCGAGATGGAAAGAATCCAGTAAGGACGAGAGTCAGAGGAAATACGCTAACCCACAACTCAGGTCAGTGGCAAGAATTGTGTATTTCAGACAGTTTACTCTTAAAGAAAGATGTTTAGCAACTTCAAAATTTATAAATCTTTGTCTTAAATATCTTGACTATCAATGTCAGTAGTTTACTTAGTTATTAAAAAGCTCTAAATAGAAGTTGTTTTCAGATAAACATGACTTAATTAATATATATGTTCATATCTTGCATTATTAATAACTTTTAGCCCTATGTACTTGCAAATTTTCCTTATGACTTTTTGTTCCTTTCTCAATTAGTTGTCTTCACCTTAACAAAGACTAGTAAAGAATAGCTTTTCATATATACCCAACAGAATTTCCCATGTGCATCCATCATCCTGTTTCAAATGTATAACAATGTTCGTGAGCTGAGTAGATGGGATTAATTATATCTTGTATAAATGACAACATAAACTAGTAGAGTTAGGTCACACATGAAATAACTATGGTACATATAGTAATCATAAAATGTTGCTCCTACATAAGTGGGTGGATTTTTTGTTTTGTTTTCTGTTCTGCATAAAATATTCCTTCTAGGTAGGTCTGTGACTGTTTAAATTCATTCATTCATATTGTGAGAAAATTTAGATTAGTCACTTAAGTTTTGTGCCATTAACCTGCCATTTTATCAGCCAAGAAGGCAGGTGAACATGACTGCAATGATACACTGGTCTGAAAAAAATATCACAGGGTGCCCTTTTCTTTCTGGGGGACCCCAAGGGTTCTCAAACCTGATTTACACACAGAAATCACAATAACGTGATGCATCAAATGAACACATCCACAAGGGCCGTGACAAGGATTCGAACCTGAATCGGGTTCGAATCCTCGTCACGGCCCTTGTGGATTTGTTCTCAAACCTGATTTAACTCTTTTATTTCCAGAGCTTTTCTATTAACTTTCCTACATGTGCTTACTGCTAACAAAATCTTTCATCTCTTCAATTGATCTTGCTGTTCAGTTACAGCAAGTGATACCTGCTTTAACTTTTATGTGACTGCCATAATGAGTTTGAACTTGCTTGCAATGCTTTAGGTAGGCTTCTGATGACGTTTATCACTTGAAGACTGTTGAAATGTCTAGAAGATAATATGAGATAATATAATCTTTATTTTTAACAGAAAGAGATATTCTCATAGAAAGAACATTTTAGGTGTAGGTAGGGAGATATTGTTGATATCAAAATTTGGTTATGAATAAAATACAAAATTAATCTTTATTCTCTCTTTCAACTAAATGCTTCCATTCATCTAATACATCACTGTAATAAACTAATTAAAATGAGATACATGAATGCATTGCCATACAACAAAATAGTCATGTTAGAGGACTTCAATTTTGGCTATTATACTTCAAAGTAGATCTGTAAAGTTTTCAAGATATTCACATATTTGTTATTTTTTAAGTTGAATCAAAGTGAGATTTGGCAAGAATGGTATTTTTAAATTAGTTGCCAGTTATTTTTACTGGGCCATGTATAAAATACCCATCAAACTTAATCCCCCCAAGCAGAATGAAGTAGTTATGTACCTTTAAATACTCCAAATTCATGTATTCTGCACTAACAGCAGAATACATATTTCCTGACATTGCAGGGCCCGTTGAGGCAGTGGCAGACATGGGTGGGGAAGGTCAGCTGCGGCTGGTGACAGACTGGGGCCATGAGGTGTCACTGGAGAGGACGTCGTACAGAGTGTTGGAGTCTACCAGTCAGATTGCTGCAGAGATGTTCCCAATCTTGTCCCGCCAGCAGACACACATCAGCGGCGAGCTTGTCAACCGTTACGAGTGGATCTATTCTCCTGCCAGCCAACATAGTGGTGGACTCGGCATGAAGGTACACGGATGATGTTTCTGGTTAAGGTTATCATGCTAGATAGTTTCTAGTTAAACTTATGATGCTAGTTCAGTTTTGGCCTTCCTATACCCTTATATGTATGCAGAGAATAAGTCACAACAAAGAGGCTGAAAATAAATAACCCAACCCACATACGTGAAAAGAAAGTGATGATATTTCGATCTTTCATGGATTCTAATCAATTCTTGATGTAGCAAGATTGAGAGAGACAGTCAATATTAGGCAATACAGAAGGTGAGCTGAAAGAAGATGAGGGGTAAGTGGAGAAACAAGCATGAAAGCCAAACTAACATAAGAATATAAGAATACAGGAAACCGCATAAGAAACTTAAGACAATTCTCATGCCCTTCAAGAAGACCTGGACAAAATAAGTGTATGGAACAACACTTGGCAAATGGGATTTAATATGAATAAATACAGTACCACATTATGGAATGTGGAATATGAGAAAATAGGTCGCACAAAACCTACAAATTATGTGGAAAAAGTGTTAAAAAACTCTGATAAAGAAAAAGATCTAGGGTGGTTTTGAATAGAAAACTGTCACCTGAGGACCACATAAAGAACACTGTGCGAGGAGTATATACTATGATTTCCAATCTTAGATTCGTTTTTAATTACATGGATTGTGAAATATTAAAGAAATTGTTCACAACCTTTCTAAAACGAAAATTGGAATATGCAGCAGTTGTATGTTGCCCGTATCTCAAGAAGTTGTACGTATCTCAAGAAGCACATCAGTAAACTGGTAAAGGAGTAAAAGATATGCAACTAAATGGCTTCTTGAAATGAAAAGCAAGAGCTCCAAGGAGAATTTATAGGTGTTAAATACACCAAAGGTAGAAGAATGAGGTGATATGATCACTACATAAAAAATAGTAACATGAATTGACAAAGAAGGATTTTTAGGCCTAGGAGAGGTTAGGTTCAGTTTATGGTTATGGATCAGTTGGTCTGTTATATCCTTTAGAATTTAAATAGAAAAAACATGGATTTTTTAGCGGTACAACAAATGTACAGTCTCCTTATATTGAGGTAGATAATAGGCTAGTCCATCCCAGTGACTTTATCGACAACCCCACCCCTACCCCAGAGAAGCACACCAATATCCTATTTTCCATTGTTACAAATACCTGTTCAACTTCCATCACATGGGTTTTTCTGGGGGGAGCCCCGTCGGCTCCCCGGAGCTATCCCAGGCTGATATGCTAATGTCAGACTTTGGCATCAGTCATGTGTATGGAGTTCTTAGGCCTACCGGGGACCACGGCCAGAACCGGGCCCCCTCAGAGAGGCAAGGGGAGCAATGGCCTATAGAAGCCCCCGTGTAGTTGGAAGCATTCTATGTCTGCCATCGACCGGAACAGGCACCCAGAAAGGTAAGCGCCCCAAAACAAACCCCTATTCTGGTTAAAATTGCTACCTAATACCGAACTAGTGGATAGAACTCCCCAACCGAAAACAAGCAAATTAGTGTGACGTCACACACTGCCGCGCCGCTGTCTGCGCAGCTCCCCCCTCCCCGGGAGGGGGAAGGGGGAGCCCCAGACCCCCCGCGCCGGCTACCCACACCTCAGTTCTTGAGGCTGATGCTATAGGCGATGGTCGTGGTGATAGTTTTGTCGTTTGCAGCCGTCTCCTTCTTTTCTGGCGAAGAATGAGACTGCTGCGTTCCGGAGGGGTCCATGGGTGGTTGATGCTTGGTTGGTCAGGCCGGGGGTGCATCATGTTTTGTGTCCGGTTGCGGTGCTTCGCCGTTATTTGCGCGCCACAGCTTCTGTGTCCGGGGACGCGCTGTGGGTTGATCCGGTTTCCCTTCTTCCCTGTTCGCGGGTTCGGGTCTCTCAGGTCGTCCGCAGGGTTATTAGGTCTAGCCAGCCTGCGGTCTATCCCCGTGCCCATGACGTTCGTAAGTTCGCGGCTCTTGCTGCCGTCTTTGGGAATATGTCTTGGTCTGATATTCGGGCGCGGGGATTTTGGCGGTCGAACAGGGTCCTGGCTGCTCGTTACCTTGTGAATGTCCCTGGCCCTCGTCGGCCTGTGTTGCTTTGGGTCGGCGGTTGCAGCCAGTTGTCTCGGCTTCGAGTTGAGGGGTGAGCGACGACCGCCTCCCGGGTAAGTCCCTCTTTTTCTGTCTGTGGGTAGTTAGCTCCGGGGAGCCGACGGGGCTCCCCCCAGAAAACCAGCGTTGAATGTAATGAAACGCCATTTTCTGGGTGAGTCCCGGAGGCTCCCCGGCATCCCTCCCTCCCTCCGGTCGGCGGTTTTTCGCGTTTTTGACATCCAGCCTCAAGAACTGAGGTGTGGGTTGCCGGCGCGGGGGGTCTGGGGCTCCCCCTTCCCCCTCCCGGGGAGGGGGGAGCTGCGCAGACAGCGGCGCGGCAGTGTGTGACGTCACACTAATTTGCTTGTTTTCGGTTGGGGAGTTCTATCCACTAGTTCGGTATTAGGTAGCAATTTTAACCAGAATAGGGGTTTGTTTTGGGGCGCTTACCTTTCTGGGTGCCTGTTCCGGTCGATGGCAGACATAGAATGCTTCCAACTACACGGGGGCTTCTATAGGCCATTGCTCCCCTTGCCTCTCTGAGGGGGCCCGGTTCTGGCCGTGGTCCCCGGTAGGCCTAAGAACTCCATACACATGACTGATGCCAAAGTCTGACATTAGCATATCAGCCTGGGATAGCTCCGGGGAGCCTCCGGGACTCACCCAGAAAATGGCGTTTCATTACATTCAACGCTGGTTTTTTATGAAAATTTCATAGAATTGTGCATCTTGGGAGATTAGCAGGGACACCTCAATCAGCAACCCTTCAGGGAGTGATTCAGTGTCTTGTAATTTTTGGGACAATAGTACCACTGTGTTATAATTAAAATAAAGTAATCAGCAGCTGATTACCTTCCCTTTATTCAGGTTGCTGGAACACTGAGAGTGAATGGCGCCGACCTCCTTACACTCAGTTATGATCCTGTCTCGTCATCCGAGGCTCTCTTCTCTGTCTCGGGCCAGATGCTCATCAACATTACGTATGATACTGTGGGACGACCTGTCAGGTGGAGACCAGTGTCACCCCTAGTTCCCAGTAATGTTAGCTATGACCACTGGGGACACATAACTGGTTGGACCCGAGGTAACCTGTCAGAGGAGTACCACTATGATACTTCACTGAGACTCACCTCTGTAACGTATGCTGATGGGGCCACAGTGAACTATGACTACAGAGAAACACTGACGAAGGTAAGTGCTCATAAGCATAAATGTTTTGTGACTACGTCCACTGGGTAGTGTTGAGTGAGCAACCTTCCATTCTGTTCTATGCTTTCATTTCTAGTTTTGCAAAATCTCTGGTTGATATAGGTAGAGTACTTCATCAACAAATTGTTAATCATGTTTTTTATTAAAATTAATATATACAATACATATATGAATACAGCATTAGGATTTTCTGAAAAAAATCTCAAAAAAAAAATGTATGCAATATACCACTAATATTAAATTAGTCTCTTTTATTGTAATTTGCACTTGTTAATACTTGTAAACCTACTTCTATTTGGAAACAAATCATCTAACCAAATTGATCTTCAAATAAATGATATAAAGATTGAGAGCACAAATTAGGAAAGGTTTTTAGGTCTATATATTGACAAGAGACTTAAATACAACACATCCAAAAATCCAGCCCTGAATATATTGAAAAGCCTCTTTCTGATGTGTCCCCCATGCCCAGCGGCCACTGAGGGCAGCCCTCCCAGGAAAGTATCCTGTAGCAAGCATATCATGTCAGTAATATCGTTATATTATATGTCCATTATACCTCAGGGAGATATCCTACATCGTCTTCATCAAATACAAAGAGGTTTAGAAATTGCTTTAATACACCTTTCATTTGTTTTTGCTCGGAAGCAGCAAGACATTGCAAATTCAGGTTAGAAATTATCTTTTGTGCCTTCTTTTCGGCATTTTCCCTTTGGCAATTAACTGAGCTGACAGATCAGCACTAGCTTACATATTAATACCACACACATATTAACCTGATGTTGGCTAGGGACACACTCTGGATCCACAATGCATTCCTCGGAAACTGAAAGGCTTCTGCTAATCTACCTCCAGAATGAAAATAATAGGTTGTTCAGATAGGTTCACTACAGGCAGGTAAACACCTTCAGTCATGACTGAAGTAACATGGTGTGGAATTAAGACATTACCAACACATCCCTGGACAAGAATGCTACTTCCAAGGGGGTACACCCTACAGCAGAGTAGATAAAACTAAGGAAATCGTTGACAGACTTGCTTCAGGCAGGCATGGATGAAGCAGGATTTATGGACAGATTGGTTAGGGGGTCTCTTTCTTCATCAAACATGTTAGAAAGATGCATGGTGCAACTACTTTAGACTTTTTACTTAAGACAGCAGCTAGAGATGGAAATTCAGTCAATTTACCAGGAAAAGTAGTAGTTCATAACCCGAGCCTACATACACTAAGATACCTAGACAAAACACAAAAAAATCTGAAACGTACTGTTCAGTTGAATACCAAAAATTTAAGAGTTCGGGTATCTCCCTATTGAGTTCCCTCATTGTTGTCATGTAGCCATTAAAGTTGTTAGCCTAGTTCATCTTTTTTTTTTCCCTGGAAATCATGGGAACAGTCAAGATCAATAGGAGATGTGTGCCAGTAGTGGTCACCTAAGTAGTGGTCACCTAGGTAGCAGCCATTCCTTAGCTCGTGTTACCCAAGCTAATAAGATGTCGGCAAACTAATTTATGTAATCTAGGATCCAAAGAGTGTCAAAGAATCCCGAGAATCCACCTCTGTGCCTGCAGTTCAAGATCTCAGGACTCTACAATCGTGCATACCTCCCTCATATCCTCCCTCCACTGGTTATGGTCTGTCCTTACAAGTCAGTGGAACAGTCCTGAAAGCGACTCTGCTTGTGTAAAGTGTGTTGTAATTCGTAGAGTCTTCTGCCGTGTAGAAGAGTGGAGAGCCATCTTCATTTGTGTGTCCTTGTTAATTGGTTACATCTTACATGTCAGCTAGCTAGTGAAGCACCACTAGAAATTTGTGTTCAATGCATTGTTACCATTTTGTCTAGTTATGAGGAAAAATTTACATACATTCTTCTTTTCTTTTCTTTTGTTACCCCAGCATGGGGAAAATTTATAAGGAAGGGGTCTTTGTAAGGTATACTGGAAATAGTGTTAGTATGGTAAAGTGAGTACTGTACTTGGAATTGTGATAATATGATAAAGGGAACATTTAAAACTCCCGCCAGTTCAGCAGCCACCTTTCCATATACACAGTAGTGTACCTGACATGAGAAAACTCTTCCTTCAAAAAGTACAGTATATACAGTATCCATGTACCATCATAGAGAAAAGTAACAATTAAAAGAACGTTCAGTGAGTGGAAACACGAGGAAAGTATAAGTGTTGTGTAATGTAGAAAACCAGTCCTATACAAAATCAGAGAGCAAGATTTTCACGTCTCCTCTCCTCTCTCTTGCCTATTTATTGCCCTTGGTTCCTTCGTCTCATCACAATCGACTTGATAATGGTCCAGGACAGACCGAAACGTCGTCGTCTCTTCATTTTCTAGCGTGTGGTTTGGTCAACACAAGCGTAACTCCTCTCCTGTAAATACACTTAGGTAATTACAGACACACACACTTTAGGCTTGTATCAAGATCGTTCCTAATGTCAATCAACTGACCTTTCCCAGGATGCAACTGTACAACAGTCGCATAACTCCCAGGTTACCTATTTACTACAAAGTAAAAAGATGCATTAGGTGAAAAGAAACATGCCTAGCCATTTCCTACCAGTCCGGATGTCAAATGCGGGATCCATAAGTGAGAATCGAGAATGAAGTCAACTGTACTATTAGATCCTATATACAGTATAGTATGTTAATAAAGGACATGGATTATTGTATCACATTAATGGTTTTTAAATGTACTGTATGCTGAGTCACAGAAACATGTTTAACTTTTTTTTTAATGTTGTATTACTTATTTCTAATTAAAAAATATGATAATTTTGCAGCCTGAGAAGGTGACACACCCGAGTGGTCGAGCCTACGGTCTTGTGTATGACGATGCTGGTTCCCTTCGTCAGGTGGTCACCCCGCGAGGTTCAGCCTACACTCTCCACCTCTCCACCTCACTTGGCTTTTATAGGCTACGTCTTGCCCTGCCTGTAGACAGTATTGCACTTCAGGTAGGCACTTTAGCAACATTCATGAAGCATGCTTGCAACACCATTACACTTTATTTTACAGAAAGTGCCTCAGATGTCTTAAGTTTGGTTCATTGATAATAAAATTTTAATTGTAATTTAATTTATAAAAAGTACAAGAGGAGTTGATTAGAATATTACTGTACCTATACAGTAATAGGCAATTATAATTTAAACTTTTAGAACATAAGAACATAAAATAAAAATACTGTAGCTGCAGAAATTCTACTATTTCATATTTCACTCTTCACAATTCTTGTTGCTTGATAAAACTGCTTTATGTAATTTTTCCCTCATTCATCATTTGTTTATATTAACTTTAATTTTTTCAGTAACTTGTCTTTGACAGTTACGATTACGACAGAACGATTAAGCACATATTTTCTTATCCAAAGAAGAAAAGCTTGGAATCACCACTGTAGCGAGGCTCAGTAAAGATATCAAGGGCACAACATCTCTTTATAACTATTGAACTCATTTGCGAAATATAATTTAACCACAGCCTTTTTGCCCAAAACGGTGTGTGATTAGTGGCCTTGTACACAAATTTTAATGACGTACTGTACAGTATCATGTATATATACTATACAATATAATATAACCCATGTATATATTCTATAAACATTATTACAGTGGCGCCTCAATTAATGAGTTTAATCCATTCCGGCACCGAGCTCGTCATGTGGAAAACTCATCTTGTGAAACAACAACAAAACTGTCATTGGAGGTGTCCGAGAACCAGCAAGAACGCTCGTTAATCGAGCGAAAGCTCGTCAGTCGAGACATATTTTCTGCGAGTGGCTTGCTCGTTACTCAAAATGCTTGTAACTGGAGCCACTCGTTACTTGAGGTTCCACTGTATTTCTATTGTAATAATATTATTACACTGTATTATTATTATTTTTAACCGATAAATTCTTGGTGTTTGGGCTGCTGCTGCTTCATAACACTGAGGAATCCCAGACCCAATCTAATATCAATTTAGCATGGTACCAGCATCATGCTGTAAAGGGAGGGATACTACCTATCTGTTGTTCATTCTGGGGATCAACATCCTTGTGGCCTGGTCTCCTGGTTGCTGGTCTGATCAACAAGGCTGTTTGATGTGGCTGCTCGCTGCCTGACATAAGAATCACAGCCTGGTTGGTAATTTATAGTTGGGGAATACATAAAAAATAAAACTGGCACTTAATCAAATACAAGAGGAATTTAAATGAACTACATACAACTATTTTGAATTGAGGGATTCAAACAAATTAGTTACTGTATATGCAGGCATCAGTCACGGTATGTTTAAAACACATGAAATGGGACACATACAACTAACATACCTTTATCAGTCACTGATTAATGTACAGTTCTCAGTATCAGTGGGAGAAAACTAAGATATTGGATGTAGGAAATAACACCTTTTAATCTCTGGTTAATTCCTCATATACCCGTTTTCGTGATATTGATTATGTTCCAATGACAAGGCAGTAACATCATCTTTAGTCACCCAAGCCACACATCTGAAAATAAAGGAAGTCATGATGTTTTGGTCCTTTCTGAACACACACACACACACACAAACTTGGTAATGGTCCAGGATGGACCAAAGTGTCAAGTTACATTATTGTGATTTATTATCTGAATCATCTTTAGTACTCGTCAGAAAATTTTAAAACTTATTACAAGCCTTTTATGTGAATATTTTATATAAAACATGTGTCATCACAGATCCGGTTGGATGAGCGAGGACGTCTGCTAGCAATGACACAGCCTGGCCATGGAGGTACACTCATCTATCAATATAATGATCTTGGACAAGTCAGCGCTGAGCTCTATGGTCATGGCTTCACTGAATACACTTATTATACCAATGGCCTCATCCGCACTGCCAAAACCAAACACAAACATGTTGATATCAGAACTGAATATCGCTACCATGCTGGGCTGATGAAAGATATGCGGTTGCGCTACGGTTCCAAGAGCGACTTGCATGCTGTCAAACTAAGATATCAGTACGATGGCTCAGCAAGGCTCCGCAAACTCGAGGGTGACATCAACTCCGATATTCCACTTAACGAAGTATATATTCGTTTTGACAACCAGACTGGTGTCCTTCAGCTGATTAGCGACCTTCGCATTATAAGAAATAATATCTTGGAAACGATGCTTCAGAACCCAAAGAAACATTATGTGAACACTCGCAAACAAGATAACTACGGCCGCCTCTCTCAAATTGATATGAACCTGCAGGGAAAGACAGTTTTCATAATGCAACTTAAATACGACAACCGCAATAGAATATCTGAACGGCTAATTGAAGTGGGTGGTCGCCGAGAAGGACTCAATATTACATATATGGCTGATGGACAGATTCTGGAGGCAACAGGAACTCATACATGGCTTTATAGTTATGATGAAAATGGAAACATCATCAGTAATACTGACAAAGGTTACCCTGAGAATCTTATTTACGATGAATGCGATAGAGTGACCAGTGTCAGTGGCAGTCAAGTTGAGTATGATGAGAGAGGCTTTGTCATCAGAATTGACAACCAAAATTTTGATTATAATACCAAAGGTCAACTTATTTCAGCTTGGAACAGTGATGAAAACTGGTCATTTACTCTGGGATATGACCATCTGGGTCGTGTCTCCATCTACCGTGATCACAACAACAATGCTACTCAATTGATCTATGGACGACCTGACCTCCCTGAACTGATCACACACCTACATAATCCTCACACTGGTTCAACTACTGGCCTCCTCTATGATGACATGAACCATCTGATTGCCATTGACCAGCCAGATGGTAGATATTTTGTAGCCACAGACCAAAATGGCACACCCATAGCCATTTTTGACGACGTCGGTTCACTCATTAGTAGTCAGGTGTGGTCGCCGTTTGGCCATCTGGTGGATAAAGCCGGTTCCAACATGTGGGTGGGTGTTGGTCCTTGGGGCAAGTTCAGGGAACCTCAGACAGGCCTGGTGATCTTCATGGGTTATGCATATCACCCAAAATTACTGCAATGGATGAGTCCTCGATGGGGTCATTTAACTCAGCCCAGACGACATGTGACAGACGTGTTTGTATACCGGTTCATGAACAACAACCCATTCAACCCTTCATCAGATCGCCTAAGACACTACTACACAGGTTAGTTAATCTACAAATTCCTCTTTTAAGTACAACATTTACATTTGTTAATTTATATAAATTTATTCTTAAACCACACTGGTTTCATGCATTTACATCATTTACGGAAATGTTGCTATGACTGATTTTGAGTTTTTTTTTTTAATTATTTCTTGAGCACCTTTATAAAGGTAATAATTCTGGCATCACCCAGGATAATTGGCCTTCAATTAAATTTAATGTTGCAGAGAGAGAGAGAGAGAGAGAGAGGGGGGGGGGGGTAAAAAGGCAATATAATCACCACAAACAGTATAAAATTGTGACAGTATTCAACAAAGTTGATAAGAAAATTATTAAATTTACAACTTCAAAAACAAGAGGACATAGATTCACGCTAAGAAAATAAAAACACAGCAAAAATGTACAAAAGTTCTCTCTTGTGAAGAGTTGTGGAGAACTAGAATAATTTCAATGGCTTTACTTTACAAGATTGTAAAGAAGATTACAAGTGGCTTTACAAGATTGTAATTATTATATTATGTATCCTCACAATCCCAATGTACCTTCTTGTATATATATAAATAAATAAATAAATAAAACAAATGGGCGTGATCAATGGCAAAATCACTGGAAGCCATGAAAACACCATATGACAAAGATTATAGGATAAAAAGGTAAATTATGAGTGTAGCTCTCATCCTGTAACTACATTTGGGGTAATTACACAGTGTCTCACACAAACAGTAAATTCCATATATGATGGAAAAATTAAAATTAAAATAATAAAAAAAAAATCATCATTAGAAGCCAGCGACCAGAGAAGATAGCTTCCTATTACCTTCTGGATGCTGTCCTGTGACACTTATTGATGATCAGTTTGTTTCGACATTAGAACAAAAATTATCAGTGTGAACAAAAATAAAACAGAATTTTGCTTTTACAGTATACTTTTAAGCCCTTAGCATAGGCTAGTGCTACCTCCAACTTGCGGCAAATAAAACTGGTAAACAAAGCTTGAAAATAAATGTATTTTCACCACACTATGTGCTGTCATGGTTGAATGGATTTTATGTTTCCAAAATTATATTTCTGAAAATTATATCTAACAACTTTTGTCTCTTCTAGATGTATCTGACTGGTTGGAGCTCTATGGCATTGAGCTGAGCAGAGTGCTGGGCTCCGAGTACCACGATATTACGCTAGTGGCACCTCGTCCAGTGGTAGCCGTGGATGGAATGGGTGCCTCTGAGGTGGTTAGTGGCCTCTGGTGCCAATACAGGGCTGGAGTAAGGCATCTACATGATCTCAGCTTCTTCTCCCAGTCCCACATTCAGTACACAATGGGCACATGGAATGGTGCGCCAATCTCCCGTCAAGCATCGATCTTTGGGCCTGGAGTCCTCGTGTCAGACATTGAAGGTCGAGTTCTTGTAACAGGCGTTACGGAGGACGACTTTTCAGGAGTGATTGGTGATGTCATTCGAACAGTTCTCAACAATTCGATAATATTAGATGTAAGTGCTACCCACAGTGGCCTTGACACATTCTATTTCATCAAGAACAGTCGAAACCGTGCCACTGAGGACATAAGTCACTTCCGGCGACTTTCCGGCATCTTCAACGTGACTAATAGCGAGACGGATCATGGCCACGAGATCCGCATGTCAACACCGACAGCTCACCTGGTCATCATGTATGGTGAACGAGTACAAAGGGCACGCACCCGTGTCTTAGAAGAGTTAGAAAAACAGGCTGAAGACCTGGCATGGGCACGAGAAGGAGCGCTTGTGAGCGTGGGCCGTCCAGGCACCCACGTCTGGTCCAAGGAGGAGGCTAATGAGCTGGTGAGGGAGGGCCGTGTTTCTGGCTATGTGGCCACACACCTCCATTCTACCTCCCGTTATCCACTCCTAGCCGCCGATGCCTCCAATATCGTATTTAAACACGAAAGTTCCCGCAAGCGGCGCAAGAGCCGCAGAAAGGGTCGCAAGAAGAGTTGGCGACAGCGCAAGAAAGGTGGTGTTTGAAGCAATGTTGTGCTAACCAAGGTTTTGGCAGTAATGCTGTACCGCTGAACTTCCAGGCATACGCTACTGAATCTGCCTTTATCGACAGATTGTGATATAATTGTACATATTTATGTAAACTTAACAGAGTTTCGATATATACGCATACTGAGTGCGTTTTTGTTCTTTCTATATGAGGTGAATTAAGAATGTAACTTTCATGATTATCATCATATTATATTCAGTGTTCTTAAGAAACCCAACTGAACCCATATATCAATTATGAAGACTTTTTGGTGTTTCTTTCATGTGGTTTTTACTTACGGCTGTATCCTGCGGTAATCCTACGCTGTACAATATGTCATGTATTATGTAAAGTAACATAATGAGTTTTTAATAAATATTTCGATGTACATTTATTAATAGCATTTGAATAATCCAAGTGTGTCCTCATGTGGTATAAAAATACACTTCAACTCTCTGGGAAACAAAGGAAACCAAACTTGGTTCCACAAAATTTCTCCAAGAGACATCACCGTCCACGATGAAGCACCTATGAAGAAACATTTAAAGGTGGAATGCAGTAATAAAATTAATCATATTTTGTAGCAGCAGCTAACTAATCTTCATTCTGGTCCTTCGCAGCACTATTCTTGCCCCCCTTGCATTGTCATTGTTGCACCTCACATTATCATTTCCATGACCCACATCAGCACCATCATTCCAGTGCCAAACACCATCACTAACACAAGAACAGTACACAGCAGAACAGTATAACAATGGAACATGTCTGGGCCTGGCAACAACTATTTTAGCTATACATAATAACTGACAAGCTCATACAGGTGCTAACAACAGCCAGGTCAGGATAGGTCATGTGTGTAGGAGATAACACGGCTGTCAGACATATTGCAGCCTTGTTAATTGGCTAATGTTTACTAATCTACATCAAAAGACACTGAAGGACCTCACTTGGCCCAACAGCTGTATAAAATGATGAAGGATAAACCAAGTAGACACAGAGTGAGGGTTTTGGGGTTAGGGCTATATGCAAGTGTGTATGGAATGGTGTCTGTAGGATAGCCATCGGTACATCATATCGAGTGAAATGCACTGTGAATGTAAGTACTGCACTGTACTGTGCTCTCGTCCTTGTCACATACATCATCAATTTAGTTTACCTCAACTAGGGAACTATAGTTTGGGCAACCCATCTAAGGACTAAATACAGTACTGTTTGAACTACCATCCTCCCCTTGTGTGTTAATTGTACCTGTGCAATGTACTAGTGGGCTGACCTTGGCCTAATGATTTACTATAGTGTTCCTAAATGGTAGTTATTCCTCCCCTGAGTCAATGACAATACTTAAGTGTCCAGGATGTACATTTTCTTTTATTCCCTAGTACACTCCCCCACTTCCCCTAGTACAGTGCATATTAAGTAGTTTTAGGGTTATTCGAGCAAAGGCCAATATTCTTTACCCTTTTAGTAATACTTACACCTGCCCCAAGAGTAACAGTAATACCTAATATCCATTACCTCAATCCTGGTTCCCTGTACCGGTCAAAACTTAGGGTGGTGGCAGTGTTAAATGTTTCATTGTTAGGTAGTGGCAGCTAACTATCCCTCTCCCTCTTTCTCCTCCATTTCCCATTATCTCTCTCCTTCTGTGGGAATTTCCCAGCAGGTGTTTAGTTATATTAACATTAATTATTATTACGTGGACGGTAAAATGCGGACTGTATGATTGATTTATATACCTGCTAGATGTTACCCACTTACACAATTTTGGGATGTTGATTTAATATTGTTAAATCCACCTTATAATATTAAATAATCATGAAGTTAGTAAAACATGGTAAATAATATTTTCCAGAAGGTTAGTAAACTGACTACAATTACAGTATTAATGAATAAGTTAGGAGGGCTTAGCTGCAGAGTAGGTTTGAGTATGTAACATCAAGGGAACTTCTTGAGAATCAGACAATTTCTCAACTCCTAGCTGGGGTGTTGAGCCCACGGGTGAACCATAAGTTGAGGCGGCTGGCTCCCAGTTGCTTCTCTCCACTCTGTGAATAACATACAATATAACTCCTGCAGTACTAATACAGTATTTCCTCAGCTAATCTCAAATGAATAGATTAACTGCCTATTAGACCTAAACTTACTCTGGATGTTTTAGTTTTGCTACGGCATGACAGCTGGTTAATTCTATGCAGGTAAATATGGCCATAAATCCTAATAGAACAATAAGCACCAACCGGACGCAATTTCCCTTATTGTGTGAAGCGAGCAGCAAAGTTTGGGAGCCGTGAAACGTCGGATGACCCAAATATTGGACGATGTTAGTGAGCTTGCTTCAGCAGGGATCAGATCAAGATCGTGTTGTCGTGAGTGACAACAAGTGACACCTCCTCCTCCTCTCTCCTTCATGGTGAACGCCCGGGGACTTAGTCATGCTATTTAATTTATCTTGTTCACTAACGAGACAATATTGTTGACCAGACCACACACTAGAAATTGAAGGGACGACGACGTTTCGGTCCGTCATGGACCATTCTCAAGTCAATTGTGAATTGTCGACAATATTGTCGAGACAATATTGGCGTCATTTTACATCCTAATATTTTACAACAAATACCAGAGAACAAGTTTCCATTGTTCATAACACTGGATAGAAGAGTTTTGTGTGATTTAAAGCACATTTAATGAGTGCTGAATATGTGATGTAACTATTATTCTGCCCGCGAGTAAACATATCACAGACATGGAAATTCACCTTGGGACAGAAGTACAGTACACTTTAATTCTTGTTAAATTTAATTTCTAATCTAAATGACAAATGCAAATAAAAGCAAATTGTAAACTGGTTTTAATAAGAATTAGATAAAGAAATTGTCAAAGTGTGAGACGTGGTGAGTGACGCAATAACCCACCATCGATATTAGGAAACTTTTGGCGCTTCAGCACTAAAAATTAACATTGTTAGTAAATTTAATTTCCTAACACAATGCACTTATCTTGTTGTGCTAGGGGTTAGTGCTTCGGGTGTCGGAAATTAACGACACCTTCTACCACAAAACCTCTCTCCTCTGATGTTCTCAATCTCTCTAATTCCCCCTCCCCCACCCCCATCTCTTTCTCTCTCTCTCTCTCTCTCTCTCCCCCCCCCCACCCATCTCTCTCTCTCTCTCTCTTTCTCAGCTGGCTACTTGGAATCTCAGTTCACCTAGTGTTATATTAGTGACTTTTTCAGTTGTTATATTGCTTACTTTCACCTGGTTTGTTAAATTATTGTGACTAATACCTAGATGTTGAACTCTGAACACCCCCACCATAGTTTTGAACTCTCCCAATAATTCTGATCACTCATTTTGTAACAACATGTCTAATTTTGTACATTATGGACCCCTACATACAAGTTACAAAATACTGTACAGTACTGTACTATGAAAAGTAGCGACTCACTGAAGTCCACGTTTTCTGTGCACTGATGTGTTAAGTGAGTGGCTCAATAATCCAACATGCTTTACTATATTCATTTAAGCTAGGTAAGGGTTATGTTCTGGTATTAGTTCTTTGAATTATTTATACATGGGAAGTATGTGTCTATAGCCTGGATATTTTATAACATGCAAATGAATTTACAGAGATTGATTAAATAGTAGAGATTAGTTCTTAACACATTCTTATTTAAAAAGGCATTTATTGAAGTACATCCTATTTTAAACATTACTAATGCAAATAGGCAATTTAGAGGTGTGTTCTGAATGAAATAGGAATGGGTACTTGCACATTACTTCAGGAACCTCATCAATAAGTTTAATCGACTAATTATCATTCTTGCCACTCACACTAATAACCAATTGACTGTCCACTCACACTAATAACCATTCGACTGTCCACTCATGCTAATCATCATTCAACTGTCCACTTATGCTAATCACCATTTGACTGTCCACTCATGCTAATCACCACTCAACTGTCCACTCATCCTAATCACCATTCAACTGTCCACTCATGCTAATCACCATTCAACTGTCCACTCATGCTAATCACTATTCGACTGGCCTCTCACACCACTATTTATTTTATTTTTTGCTTATATACAAGGTACATTGGGTTCAGAAAGTACTGTACTGTACTGTACATTGGGGTTGTGTGTGACATTCTTGCAAAGCCACTGAAATGCAGAGAGTTTTGGACAGGTCCTCAAGCTAACCAGTGAAAGTAATAATAGGTACATTGTAACAATTTGAGTTCAACATAATAACTACAATACAAATTGATAGAACAGATTATACTGATGAAGTTGCATGTCTTAAGAACTAAATTCAGTGAGTGGGTAGCACAAGATACAGTATGAGTTAGAAGGGAAACTATGAGGATGAAATTTGGTACTTTTGAATAAAGTATAGGTTGGACAATTTTTTAATTCATTAGGGAGCAAGTTCTATACACTGGGGTTCTTTAATTTGCATAGCGTTTGCACAGATTTAGTCTCACTCTAGGAATATCAGAGAGATTTTTTTCTGGTATGGTACTCATGGGTTCTATTACATATATCAAAGAAGTTTCAAATCAGGAGTAGAATTAAGGAATAAGGTTTTGTAAGTGTAAATAGCACAAGAGAATGTGTGGAGTGAGGTATGTTTAGCATGTTTACATATTTAAACTGAGGGACTGTGTGTTGTCTGAAGACAGAGTTTGTTATAGTTTTGATAGCCAATTTGCCGAGTGATGATGGGCTTGAGGTAGATTGCAGTCATTCAACTCCATGCATAGATATCATATGCTAGATAGGGACAGATTAGTGTATAGTATAATGAAAGAAGAGCAGTGAGTGGAACATATCTGATTTTTGAGAGTACAGTATACCAATACAGCCTGTAGGTTTAGACTTTTTTGGCTGTGTGTTGTACGTGAGTACTAAAGTTTAGTATCTTGTCTATGTACATACTGTACAGGCCAAGGAATCTTCCCTCATTTTTACTATTAATGTTGACATGGTCTACCTGAAGATGATTTTGGTTTGATGATTTGCTTCCATATAAAATGTAGTAGATCTTTTTTTATGTTTCGTGTGAGTTTGTTGGTTTACATCTGTGAGTAGTTTTTTTTTTAATTTCTTATTTACAATACAGTATTATTTAGTGTGTGTGAGTTGAGGCTTGAGCAGATGAAGGTAGTATTGTCAGAAATTAGTACAAGTTTAAGAACATTAGAGATATTTGGCAAATCATTGGTGTATACAAGAAATAAGAGAGGTCCTATGATGTTGCCTTGTGGTACTTCTATGGTTAATGGTAGAGTGGGAGAGGTTATGTCATAGACAGCTACATATTGGTATCTGTTATTAAGATATGGTCAAATGTAGTTCAGAGTAAGGCCTCAGATTCCATAATGAAGTTTAAGTAG